CAACAGAAGTCGTGTATCTTGGCAAGCTTCTCTGAGTCATGGGAATGATGGAATTTGCATGTCTATATAAAAAAAGGGACCACAAGGGTACGATGAGACTAGATTATGAACCTAATGAAATGAACTTAGAGAAGGCTTGAATGCTTTTTATTATTATCATTATTATTAAATAAGAAATTTATTATCATGCACATTGTGCCACAATTTTCAGATCATTAAGAAATACTTCTGAAAAAAAAATAAAATTACTGCCATATGCTTCAACTTGTGTATTACATTATATAATGTCTCTTTGCACAGTATATACCACGGAAGTGGAGTTGTGGGAAATTTGAGTTTCTTTAGAAAAGTTAAAAAAAAAAATTATTTTTGTGTGTGTAGTTGTGTGACATGAGTTCGGTACAAGTAATCCACTCCCCTGCCCAAAGCATCTCGCATGTTGGGATAGCAGTACTTTTTTAAGCTTTGAGCCATTTCTGTAAGAGACTAAAGTAAAAATTGGGTGTCCTGCTAGATTTTGAACTTTTCTTGAGCAGTTTTGAATTTGTGTTCCATATGCAACTGGAGGTGCATCATCGTGGTAGGTGTGCGTGTGCGCCGGCACCGTGCCGGCCACGAACCTTATCCGAAGCTGACATTTGTTAATGTTGGTTTTTTCTTTTTGAACATGAAACGCTTACAATATGGTTGGACAAATGAAAACTATGAAGTGCAAATATCTTGCTAGTTGTATGAATTTTTTCAAAGCATAATATCAAACACCCGCTTCTGAGGAAATGATAAAGTCACAACCTCATATCCCCGCTTTAATTGAAGGTGAAATCATTACAAGAACGTTGTAGAGAAAATGAAACCTCACCTGCCCTGTCTACATTCTGTGTGAAAAATGGAACAGATGATTCGGAGTATCAACCTTCATAATCAGCTTTTGAATGTATAAATTTAAGGGCTGTAAGAAACCCACCCTCCTGACAACCAGTTTGAATACAGTGAGGTCACTCTGTAGTCCCTCTCCATTAGACTAGAGTAGGGGTGTGTGAGCATGTCAACATACACAGTATTTTCTAAATGTTTGTAAAAGGGGAAAGTCTGTTGGTGCGAATGTGAGGAAGCTGCGTATCTTTGCAATCAGCATTATTTATTTTTGGGAAGAAAGTTATGCAAGTTTGTATTTTCTTCCACATGCATGATTAACAACCAACTGGACATTTATAGCCAGAAATGATATGATTTCCATTCCGTTACTTGAGATTACCAGCGACTTGGACAGAATGAAGTCTTTGACAGTCCTGAGTACACTACATTTCTAATCAAAGAAAAAATAAATTACCAGCAACCTCTGATGCATGAGTGAGTGAGTTGCATTTGCTAGCTTGTTTGTGTGTCTGGAATTTGAAAGAGAAATATCAATATTATAAGCAAAGCCAGGTGATCACACCCTATGAAGCATTTTTTTATATTGATATATTCTTTGTGAAACAAGTATGGATTACTTATCAATCAATCAATCATCCTGCATATGAAAAGGGTTTTATTGAATAATTGCCAGCACCAGGCTGTGGAGCCAACTTGCGTGAAAGTATGTGTGTGTGTATGCATGTCTGAAAGGCACAAGCGGAGGCTCCGCAGCCTCGTGCATCCAGTCTGATCCGCTTCTGTCAGGTTTCTGGGCGACAACTCTTGTACATTCACATGTAGACCAGTCGATATCACGGTCCGAGCATTCCATCGCTTGTCCTCCGGCCTCAAGGGCTCAGGGCTGTTCTACATGCGCGATGTGTCAACCTGAAGAAGGGTCGGCATAGAACCTGAGGTATATGTCATAATACATGTGTGTGTAGGGGAAGTGTATTTCTCCTATATTCAGCCAAAACACACAGAATCTACTTCTCATATCAGAAGTAGACTGAGTGGTTTTGCTTCCAACCCAAGGGACTTGTGCACTTTGATTTAATTTGTCTCTTCACCAAGGTTGACAAAAGTATCTGTAGATTTAGCTTTTGTGGCAAAAACCAAACACAACAGATGATTCTTTGTTTTGCATACTGACAGCTGAATTATGTTTTATACATAATATATATATTTTCTAATGACTCCATGTGAGGCTGTGCCCCAGAATCATTATTGCGTGTTCCCCCTACCCCTGATCTGGGGCCTGTCGCCATGGTACAATACATGAACTTCATTTAGATGTCAACTTGGAATGTAATATTTAATTTCTCTACTAGAAGGCACAGGTAGTGACCACTGCAGAGGGAACTACATGGATACATGTGTTGTGGGAGATTTTTGCATATTGTAGTAGTGACATTTTTTGTATCATTTAAAAACAACTGCTGCTATAGCTTATTGAAGTCGTGTTTTGTGATTTGTCTTGTAAGTAAACTATCTCACTTGTCCAAATAAAGCTCTTTGTCTTTAAAATATTAACTGCCAACATGCCTGTGTTACTTAATGTTTTCTTTCCAGTTTCTTACTGCCTCATCATCGTGCTGTTTCTTATTGGAAATAACTGAAGAGCAGTGTACCATCTTGTATGGACTGAAGGAAACTGCAGAGTAACTAAAGAATCTTGACTGGTTTACGGTTATGACTTACGACTTACAAGTTTGAATGTCACGACCACCCACTTTGATGTTCCCGTATATAATTCACTTCATGTTGTGTAACATTTATAGGACTCAGCTAAGACACTGGATTTAGGATCTGTGGTTCAAGAGTAAGAGTATCCTGTGCAAATTTGTCTTGACATCCTGCCTTATCCTTACCATCCTTAACTTGTGGGAAAGTGGAAACTTCTGCAGATGTGGAGAATGCCAGGGCCCGTGGGTGCCTCCACCAATGCCGAAACGAGCATAGGCTAGGAATTAATGACGACAGTACGTCTGAGAATCTGATGTGTGTCGAGGTGCACCTGATTGTCTGGTTGAGTAGTTATCTGCTAAGGTTCATAATTACAGCAGTGCACCTGATTGTCTGGTTGAGTAGTTGTCTGCTAAGGTTCGTAATTACAGCTGTAGATTTCAACATTTTTTAAAATATATTATCAGTTATTAGTTTGAAGGCTGCATCAACAAATAGCCCTAATTTTGCCTAAAACATCGCAAAATGTGACTGGAATTTTGTCTAATAGTAATATGTAGTGTGTAGAAGAGACTAGTGTAATTGTGGATGTCTTGTGAACATGGAAATATGAACTATAACTGATCTTGTTTCAGTTTGCTGCAAAAACCTGACAAGGGGGTGAACTGTTTAGTTAGAAAGCTAACAATGAGAGGATTAAATGTGATTGTTTATAGTGTGTATTGCAGATAATACAATGTAAGTCACAAGAAATAATCTTATAGCTTTTAGGGATAAACAAGTCAGTCTGTTCAGCCCTTCTTGCTATTGAAGTTCACACCTTGAAAGAAAATTGTTATAGCATCAGTATCATAAACATGTATTTTGGGTAAGTTCTGTTGTCATGTGTGATTAATATTAAAAGAAGCAAAGTAATATATCAAGATTTACTTTAATTATTTGTACATTACAGATATTGGAGACTTGAATATAAAAGACTCTGAAAATACATTTAGCTAGTGCCGGACAAAACTCAGGATCTCGGCAAGTAGGCTATCTTCATGCATTATATTGCTGCATCCAGGGCCAGACTTTGACCATCCAAGGCCCTAAGTTATGTCAAGTTTATGAGGCCCCTAAAATTCAAAAAAGGTTATTCTTACCAAGTGGATGATCATTAAGACACCTGAAAGTGTTATTTCTTAATGATATTTGGTTAGGAAAGTTATTGTTACGTTCAAAAGATAAGCTGGGACATCTGTCACTTTCAGTGCACGTGGTACTTAAGAGCAGAGCTTTTTCTTGCAACATGGTTGTCCACTGTTCATTATATGTTTTAAACACAAAAACTCTTTCTCCTGGGCAGTTTATAACCATAAGACATAAAAATAATCTCAACATTGTTTCTACAGTAGGAATACCAACTGAATTTTATCTTTGATATAAAGTGATAGAGGTCCTGACAGTTCATTGGTACTTTGGCTACATCTCTGTAATTGTCCTTAATATAAGCAATCAAGAGCTTCGTCTACCCAACAAGGGGGAGACTAAGCACAAATTTCATTAGCAAGATTCTCTTTTTGTGCATCAATAATAGGGAGGAACTTTCATAAATGTTGGGTGCTTCACCATCAACATTTTCTTTTCTTGTTATTTTCTGTGTACAGGTAACCCTTGATTTGCGCCGCTTTTGAAACCAGCAAGTCAAAAAGTGAATTTTTTTTTTTACTATTATAACATTTTACGTTTCTCATACTAAATCGTAATTCTTACATCGCTGATTTTTAATAAAAATTATAAATACAGTCATCTCTGCAATTATGTGTTTCATTAACGCGAATTTGCTCCAATGAGACCGATGAATCGGCATATGCAAGTTTACTCTTATGCAATTTCATTCCTGGCGCTTTAAACTTTCAAAGGACTAATTTAATCTTGAGTGAGTAAGGCATACTGTCGCATTAACAACATAAACAATCTTCTTAGCAGTAACGTCATTAAATTATACAAATATATTTATATATTATGCAAGCCTACAAAGTGTGGTGGCACATTCGTTTTCCAGGAACCAATAAGCAAATTAATAAACAGAATCATGTCTTTCCTTTATGCTAAAGGATTATTTTCAACCCAACCCCCCCTCCGGGGGGGAGGGGGAACTGTGCCAAATCTTCACAATGTTCCTAGCTGATGTACATGGTCTCAAAAAATATTATTCACATCTTCGTCTAGATTGTAAATTAAGGCTGCTGTGATATATGTGTGTTTCTTGTAGGCTACTTGTGGCCTGATGGTGTTACAGTAGCTGGTGTCACTGGTGGTGCAGCAGGCTCATCACTGGATGAACCTGATGTTGCCCACACTGAAACACACAGTACACGGTTTGATCAGACTGAAGACTGTATGACTTGTGGTCCTGTGCTTCTTCAGAATAGCCATTTGTGATCCTATTAACGGTACTGCATACACACTTCATGGCACTTCTTTCACAGGCATTTTAATGTTATCCTCCCACCATGTGTAAAAGTTGGGAACAGAATGGGATAAGATATGACATATTAATGCTTCTTATGGTGCACATACACAGGTTTCTCCTTGAGGGGCAGTGCTGTCTGTCTGTTCAACAGTACCCTTAATGGAAAAAATGTTGGTCATTTCGTTGTCAAGAACTTGCATGAAAACAATCACTTCAGGGAGCCCAAATACTCATCACAGCATAAAATTAATGCATAATGGGAAGATGTGGATGCAGTGACCATCAGAAACATTACTTACCAATTAAGACTGTAATTAACAACAGCGCAATTACCCCCATGATGATCATCATCTGCAAGAAATAAACGGGAACATCTCAGGTGGCATAACACACAATGCAAACCCTAAAATATATACGTTACTAATGTCAATGGTCGTGTCCAGTACATTGTCATCGCACTCAAGATATTGTTGCTGATGTGCATATAATCTTATAAATCATGTCCCTTCTTCAATACATTGATTATACCACTAATTTCTAACATGGCAAATGCGAAGAACAATTTTCAGCACTGCAGCCTGTTGCATACAGATTAACAAATAATCAATAGTCAATAATAATTCAAAGCATGTTCAAGCTGTGCCGACAAACTATTACTTTTGAATCGAGAATGAAGCAAGCGGTGTAGTAAACCTCAGTCCTCCTACTGAGGTACAAGTTACACACCTTGAGGTTCTTCCACCAGTATTTTCTCTTCAGTTTGCCAGCCTGCTGCTCAAACTGTGATGCTCCCTGCTGCAGTGCATCTGAAACACGCAGCGCTCGTGTTAGGTGCCTTCTGAAACTGTCGCACTCTAACATTATAATGTTATTAACAGAATAAACTCTGCCCTTGCAAAAGTCAGGCTCCACATATTTTTAAATGAATACTGAATAAATATTCCTAGAATCAGATGGTACATGGACTGGAATATTCAAAGATTTTGCAGGCTTGCCTGTTTCAGCGGAACAACGGGAGGAAGGGGAAGAACAGAATAAAGGTGGAGCAGAAGTATGAGGAAGAGAAAAGGAAGGTGAAGTACTTAAATGAAGAAGGCATACAGATAAATGAGAGGTGAAGGACAAAGAAGAAGCAGAAAAATAATTTTTTCCTGATTTTCAACCCAACAGTTGACCCACTGTGACATGGAATCCATTTAGCTCGGGTAGCATCTGTGTGATAGGTAGAATGATAAAATCTTCAACAGCACTCATACAGTGGGACATGACACATGGCCTGAAGCTGATAAGACTCCCGTTATCTTGTAGATTTATCAGGTATGCTGTATATGGCATCAGATAACTGAACAACTGGATGTTGCAACAGACTGCAAAGATTTCAATGCAGATCCCTCTACCTTCAGCAGATCTATCTGTCCACTCATACATGTTGTGACTAACCATTAAAAACAAACTTAAAATGAAAGTCAGATACTTTGTGCTGCTCACATTCACTCAGTAATACTCAGCTTCAAGCTGCTATGACTGCTACACCTGCATAAAGGGCAGACAGTCGAGTGTTTGGCTTGCAACAGCATAGCGTGAAATGACTGAAAAGGATTCAGATTCAATGTGCCATTTTAGTACACATTCCTGCATTAGCCTGCAGGGACTGAAGAAAACTCTGAAAAGCCATGGTCAAGATAATGAACCTCCAGGCTGAGGCTTGGAATTGGGACCTCCCAAATATGAAGGTTTTTTTACTAGACTGAAACATGTCATGAGGAAAGGTTGAAGTCTTGAAAAACACAAAAGCTCTGGGTGAGAATCAGACCAAATGACAGAGTACTTTGTGTGATCCTGAAAGACTGAGTAGTCTGTTTCACAGAACTGCCTCTTAAGGGCAATTGCAAAACCTGAGCCAGGACAACTGGCATCCTTACCAGTACCTTCCAGATGCATTACTCATTGAGGCTGCCTGCCTTTAAAAGATGTATCCTCTGCTGTCATGTCCTTATTTTATTAAGTGATTACTTTATCATAATAAATAGGAGGATAATATTAAATAAGTCCTAAGAACACAAGGTATAGACTGGATTCATGTGGTTCAGGATAGGACCCAGGGGAAGGCTTTTGTTAACATAGTAATGAACATTAGTTTCTGTAAAATGTGGGAATTTACTGACTGGCTGCGAGACTGCAGGCTTCTTGAGAAGGCCTCTGCCCATGGAGTCACTTTGCACTTAATGAGATAGGAAGGCAAGGAAAGTAATGTTTGTAAGTTTACAATGCTGGGACCATACCTTTTCCATTATGTAAATTACAATATGGAATATGTATCAAACAATGTATTATGCTATGAAATCATCAGTGAAATATTAAGAATTATGTCCACTTACAGGTACATATTCATTTGTTCACTGTCTCAACACAACAATGGATTAATCCCTGATACATCAAAAGCCACTCAACTCGTGACAAGATCCAACCCTGAATGGTGCCAGTGTTGTTCCAAACTCGGAAGTCTGCAAGGCAGCCATGCTGTTATTGCAGACATTAAAAAAAGAAGCAATGACATGGAGTTCATATACAGTTAAAAAAAAAAAGAGCAGCTAGTTCCTATGATATTGATATCTGAATTTTAAACAGGGGCAGACAGACGGACAGAGAACCAGACACATTTGGCGTACCAGCGGGAACAAGTGTCAACAAACCGCTGTTGTGTTACCTGATCGGTTATCCAGATCTGCCAAATTCTGTTCCCGTTCCATCAGGGATCTTACATTTATTTGCATTATTTCCACAACCTGATCGTTGTTCAAGATGTTGACCATGTACATAAAAATAATAACAACTCCAGATTAGTGTCTTAACCTACATACCACTGTGTTCAGACTGGCAGGCACTCCCCACTTGAGTACTCGGGACAACAGCCCTAAAAAATTACTACTCTGTGTTGAAGTAATTCACTCTGGCACTTAAATCTTCAGCTCACCTAATTTTAATATAAAAGCTCAGTTTGTCAGTTGTGTGTCAGAAACTACAACATGCCTGCCAGTCTCAACAAGAACATTGGCAGCGCATGTAGACTTACAATGCAGTTAGCAGGGGCTCAAGTGTGTTCTATTTTCATCATTCCAAAGAAACCAGCACATCTCAATCTACATTTTGTTCATGGGTTTCAAGGAGTTCTACACGCAAAACATTAACATGTTCTGGTATGAGGCACAAAGCCCATACAAATACTGATTATCCATGGTCTGAGCAACTAGCAGTTTAAGTATTTTCTGACATGCACAGAAACAACTGATGCCAACTCCAATAGCAGTTTCAACAAACTGCTGTTGACATAGGAATCAGTAACAAACGTGAAACGCAGGGAAGCTGATGCCATTGTAAGTCCACAGACTGCAGCACACAGTAGCCAACTCGCCATGCAATACAGCTAACATTATCAGGTTGGCTCACCTGCACGGTTATCTAATTCTGATAACTTTTGATCACGTTCGAGTACTTTCTCGACATTGACGCGCATGATGCCCACTACCTGAATGAGGGCGAAAACAAATAAACATCAAACACATGCCACATGAAAACATAGTGAAGTGAACCATTCCATATTAAGAAAATGACAACTCTGTATAATACTTTTCATACACACTAGTTTTATAATGAGGATATCTATTATATTATATTCTTTTACAGTGAAAGATGTAACACATCCAACATTTCAATGGAAGATTTAGTGCTTGCTACAACTGTTTATATGCAGTGCTGTAAACAGCACCCTGGAACTTCATGTTTTGTATTTTATGTCCACATTCACAACAAAATACTCAGTAATTTATCTCTAAATGTTATTAACAAAGGTTCTGAATTACCAATTTCCATTATGCATCCTAAAAAACCACTAAGTTTTGGGAGATGGCTCCTCCCCCACTCTCAAGCAAACCTATACAGCTGGCCCCATTAGAAGGGGCTGATCTCGATTGTTGGATCACAGATAATGATTATCTCAGGCTCAAGATGTTTACTAAAGTTTTCCTAAGATAAATGCTGATCTTGGGATATACACGTCTGTCACTGTTGCCAAAACACAAAGTCAAAATAATGTTGTGACTAACTGGCTTGTTTTAGAATAGAGATCTATATGACTTCCTGTAAAGTGAGATATCAAATCTGCAATCAGACAACCATTACAATCCTATGGAATGGTACACATGAGCAGACAACACAAGTGCATTAGTTCATTTTAGTCCTTCCATCACCAGGCCTCTGCTCAAGCTACAGGAAGAGACTGAAGTAATGTGCTGTAAACAAGTTAACCAACAAAGTAAGTGTTCTCTGTGCACGTCGCCATACTCCCTCATGTCAATCTTCCTGTAACATTTCTGTGAGTCTTGAGTCTGACCTCCATTTACACCACTTTACATGCAGCCAGCCTTACAATTGAAGTACGCTTCTACCTAGCAAAAGTATTATGGAATCCCTACCTAAGCGTTTGCCACAGCAATTAGACAAAACTCAAGATAAGTCTTTGCAGACAGAGACACACCCAGAATTACCACTTACAAGTGAATGAAAGAAACTGTACTGCATGTGATTTGAGGTTTCAAAGGCACAGAAAATATTGATGTTGGTCTCTTAGTTATAACACCATTTTGATTTGTAGGTAGGCACCACAGCTAAAGATGGAGGCAGTACATTCCAATGGAATGTTGGTATTGACCTACAAGATCACAC